CTTGGCAGAAACCTTACAGGCCAGTAGGGAGTGGCATGATGTATTTTATGCAATGAAGCAGAAGGGTCTCGAACCAAGAATACTCTATATGGCAAGATTATCATTTAAATTTGAAGGAGGGATTAAACAATTTCCAGATAAGCAAAAGCTGAGAGAATTTACCTCCCACGAACTGTCTCTACAGTGTATTTTGGAGGGACTCTTACAGATGGAAGTGTTCCTAAGGTTTAATAGCTGTCACCATAGGTAATAAAACCACAGTAAAGAAAGTAGAACAGTTAATTACCAAGCAAATGCAAAATTAAATCAACTATCCCCAAAGTCAATCAAGGGATAGACAAAGAGTACCACGAATCTAAAGCCTGCAATTCCAATAAGTACATACCTATCGATAATCACCCTAAATGTAAATGGACTGAATGCATCAACCAAAAGACACAGAGTCACTGAACGGATAAAAACAAGAACCATCTATATGCGGCCTACAAGAGACTCACTTTAAATCCAAAGACATACACAGACTAAAAGTGAAGGGATGGAAAAAGATGTTTCATGTAACTAATAGGGAGAAAAAAGCAGGAGTTGCAGTACTTGTATCAGACAAAATAGACTTCAAAACACAGAAAGTCACAAGAGACAAAGGACATTACATAATGATTAAAGGGTCAATCCAACAAGAAGATATAACCATTATAAATATCTATGTGCCCAACATGGGAGCACCTACATATACGAAACAAATACTAACAGAATTAAAAGGGAAAATAGAATGTGATGCATTCATCCTAGGAGACTTCAACACTCCACTCACTCTGAAGGACAGATCAACCAGACAGAAGATAAGTAAGGAGACAGAGGCACTGAACAACACAATAGAACAGATGGACCTAACAGACATCTACAGAACTCGACACACCAAAGCAACAGAAATCACATTCTTCTCAAGTGCACATGGAACACTTTCAAGAATAGATGACATACTAGGCCACAAAAAGAGCCTCCGTAAATTAAAAAAGATTGAAATTGTACCAACCAGTTTCTCAGACCACAAAGGTATGAAACAAGAAATAAATTACGCAAAGAAAATAAAAACCCCACAAACACATGGAGGCTTCACAACATGCTCCTAAATAACCAATGAATCAATGATCAAATAAAAACAGAGATCAAGCAATACATGGAGACAAATGACAACAATAATTCAACACCGCAAAAATCTGTGGGACACAGTGAAGTGCTAAGAAGAAAGTATACTGCAATACAGACCTACCTCAGGGAAGAAGAACAATCCCATATGAGCAGTCTAAACTCACAATTAATGAAACAAGAAAAAGAAGAAAAAATGAGGCATAAAAAGTCAGTAGAAGGAGGGACATAATAAAGATTAGAGCAGAAATAAATAAAATTGAGAAGAATAAAACAATAGAAAGAATCAATGAGAACAAGAGCTTGTTCTTCAAGAAAATAAACAAAATAGATAAACCCCTAGTCAGCCGTATCAAGAAAAAAAAGAGAGTCTACACACATAAACAGAATCAGAAACGAGAAAGGAAAAATCACTACAGACACCACAGAAATACAAAGAATTATGAGAGAATACTATGAAAAATTATATGCTAACAAACTGATAACCTAGGAGAAATGGACAACTTTCTAGAAAAATACAACCTTCCAAGGCTGACCCAGAAAGAAACAGGAAATCTGAACAGACCAATTACCAGCAACAAAATTGAATTGGTAATCAAAAAACTACCTAAGAACAAAACTCCTGGAAAAGATGGCTTCACCACTGAATTTAATCAAACATTTAGTGAAGACCTAATATCCATCCTCCTTAAAGTTTTCCAAAGAGTAGAAGAGGGCATACTTCCAAACTAATTCTATAAGGCCAGCATCACTCTAACACCAATGGGGAAATGACAGCCTCTTCAACAGCTGGTGTTGGCAAAACTGGACAGCTACATGTAAGAGAATGAAACTGGATTATTGTCTAACCCCATACACAAAAGTAAACTCGAAATGGATCAAAGACCTGAATGTAAGTCATGAAACCATAAAACTCTTAGAAGACAACATAGGCAAAAATCTCCTGACAAAAGCAAAAATGAACATATGGGACTACATCAAACTAAAAAGTTTCTGTATGGCAAAGGACACCATCAGCAGAACAAAAAGGCACCCTACAGTATGGGAGAATATATTTGTAAATGACATATCTGACAAGGCGTTAACATCCAAAATATATAAAGAGCTCACACACCTCAACACCCAAAAAGCAAATAACCCGATTAACAAATGGGCAGAGCAGAGGGTATGAACAGATAATTCTCCAAAGAAGAAATTCAGATGGCCAACAGACATATGAAAAGATGCTCCACATCACTAATCATCAGGGAAATGCAAATTAAAACCACAATGAGATTATCACCTCACACCAGTAAGGATGGCCAGCATCAAAAAGACTAAGAACAACAAATGCTGGCGAGTATGCGGAGAAAGGCGAACCCTCCTACACTGCTGGTGGGAATGTAAGCTAGTTCAACCATTGTGGAATATGAAGGTTCCTCAAAAAACTGAAAATAGAAATACCATTTGACCCAGGAATCCCACTCCTTGGAATTTACGCAAAGAATACAACTTCTCAGACTCAAAAAGACATACGCACCCCTATGTTTATCGCAGCACTATTTACAACAGCCAAGAAATGGAAGCAACCCAAGTGTCCATCAGTAGATGAATGGATAAAGAAGATGTGGTACATACACACAATGGAATACTATTCAGCCATAAGAAAGAAAGCAAATCCTACCATTTGCAACAACATGGATGGAGCTGGAGGACATTATGCTCAGTGAAATAAGCCAGGTGGAGAAAGACAAGTGTCACATAATTTCCCTCATTTGTGGAGTATAACAACGAAGCAAAACTGAAGGAACAAAATAGGAGCAGACTCAGAGACTCCAAGAAGGAACTAGTCGTTACCAAAGGGGAGGGGTGTGGAAGGGCGGGTGGGGAGGAGGGAGGGAGAAGGGGATTGAGGGGTATTATGTTTAGTACACATGGTGTGGGGGTCACAGGGAAGACAGTGTAGCTCAGAGAAGACAAATAGGGACTCTGTGGCACCTTACTACACTGATGGACAGTGACTGCATTGGGGTATTGGTGGGGACTTGATAATATCAGTAAATGTAGTAACCATATTGTTTTTTCATGTGAAACCTTCATAAGAGTATAAATAATATCTTAATTAAAAAAAAAAGACAGCTAACAAGTTATTCTAAAGTTGGGCAGTTAACTATTTTCATGTAAAAGTCCTCTTGTTTTTCTGCGTTCTGTAAAATTATACAGCATGATTTGGGAATACAGTCTGATATAGAAAATATATCTTTTCCACTGGAGAAAAAGCAAATATTTAAATAGATAAATCTTTCTGTTAAAGGAGAGGTGTTCATTAGTTTGAAAGCTGTTCTTGGACAGCAGAGCTGTGGCCCCCACATCCCCACATAGCAGCGAAATGGTGGCCATAGGCCACAGGAGACCTATTCCCAACCATTGCTCCATGGCCCCTCTTCTGTTTGTAACTCACTTAAAAAAATGAGACACTGACAAAGTATGCTTAGAACAACGTCCAAAGCAAAAGGCCACAGACACTATGGAAATTGTTAAAAGACACTTGGGTTCTCATGTAATGATAACAAATTCATACAGTATTAAAATAATCTGATGTAATACAGGCCACCTGCTTATCAACATATTGAATCACAAGGAATGATGGTGAGAAAAAAAGACTCAAATAAAACAAAATTATGGATCCTGTTGAGTATGAATTTCCAATTCATATAATTCTATGAGAGATTTTTTTATAGCATATGAAAAACTGCACATTTTAAGTCTATAAACCTAGAAATAAAATAAATAAATACAACTGAACATATTAAACACCCACCAATGAGTTGTCTTAATCCAGGACAGCAGAGGCCACCGAGCCAGATATGCTCCTTCCCATTCCTATGTGTCCTGCTTTCCTGGCAGGGACTGAGACTTCAAGGCGATTTTTTTTCTTCATTGTAAATATTTTGTGGTGTTTAAAGTAATCATCACTAGCCAGTTTGCTCTAAAAGCCTGTGTCTCAACACTTCTTCCCTTTTTATAATACAAACTGCACACCACAGGGAGCACTGTCACAGAACACGGCGTCCCCCAGACCCCACAGCACCTGCGGCAGAGCTCCGTGCCGGCAAAGCAGGGGTGAGGGCAGCCGTCCACGAGACCACAGGCAGAATGGGGAAGCAAGTCCCCCGCAGGCCACCTGCCGACAGGGGCTCTGTCGGCGGGAGTCCACCCACAGCGGCGTTGTGTGAGTGCTGACCTGGCCGAGCCGCGATGGACAACTGCCATTACTGCGCTACCGCTACCGGAGAGAAGGCTGAGCCTGGGCCCTGTTCAAGTAACAAAGGAGACGGGTGTGCTCCGCCTCCGAAGCACGTGGCCCAGGCACACAGGATCCACCTCAGAATGCTGCTGATGATAACCCTTTTTCTTCCCAAAGGGGGTGTATTAGCTTTGAAAACAGAAGCCAGGAAAGTCTTTGGAACAACACACAATACACTCTGCTCCCTGCCCCGCCACAGTTGCTCACTGAGTCTGAAGCTATACACAGCAAATTAGCTGTGTGTGATAAAGGAAATTTTATTTCCAAAACAAACTTGATGGCAGTTCTATAGCAAATCACCTACAAAAAGGAACTAAAATAAGCAGCACCTGTTTTCAGGACAGTCACTGGTCTTTCATGAAGACGTAGCAAAGACAAGTGAAACAGCAGGGTCCCCAGGGAAAGCAGCATTTACACAATTCTTATACCAACTTCCAGCAGGTGGAGGCTAGTCTACATGGTTGTAACAGGAACAGCGTTTACTTCAAAACCCTTCTCTGGGAATTAGAACATTCTAAGTAAATTAAAGCACAAATTCCAAGAGGCACTGGTAACCTCGTCAACTTACCCCGCCTGACAACTTAATCACCCTGACCTTGGAGCTGACGTGTGGCACGTCTCCACCACCACTGTTTGCCCGGTGCATGACAGTCCTTTTCGTGCCGGGCTTGGCATCCGGGGGCCGGCCTTGGAGGGACGCCACTCGAGTGGTCAGCGCAGAGGGTGGCAGCCCCTCTCCATCTGCAGGCTTTACCTGCAGGACTTTGTGCTGAGCAGGACTGTGAGGTACGGGTCTGGCCTGTCTCAAGTGTTTCAGTGGTTTCATCTGTTGTCCTTGATACTGCATGTTAGCACCAGACGGCACAAAATTGGACGTTTTGGGCTGAAGGGCTGAAACAGTGACATCCTGGTTCTTCACAAGAAGTCTGTTTTTCACATTCTGTCTGATCTGTGCTCCTGGGAAGGGTAACAGTGGATTACCATTGGTGGGTGCCAGGGGCGCCGCCAGCTCTTCCTGCTCAGCCGGCACTGTGGGGGCACAGAGCTGCTGCTGAGCCAGCCTCTCCAGCAGCTCCTTCTTTCGAGCACCAGCCTGCTGCTGCCGCCGGAGCTCCTTCTGCTTCAGGATTTCTTCTCTGAGGCGCTTCTGTTCTTCTATCTTCAGGCGATACAACCTCGTTTCCTCATCTTCATCAGGAAACTGGAACAGAAAACAGGCACGGCTACTTTGGGCGTGAGGCAAGGCGACCATCCCGGGCTATTTCTACAGACTGAGAAAATGCACTTTCCAAAACCCTTTAATTCAGACCTTGAATGAAGCCATTCAAAATCTGCTTATAGACTTAAAGTGTAACCTCATCCTCTGGAGGGGGGAAAAATTACACAGCTAAAGCTAATTTGGAAAATCTTATTAGAATATGAAAAATGAAATAATGCAAATTCCACTCATTTACGAGTTTGAAACCAATTAACTATTCATCTAGGATATAAAAACATGTTTCGAATGGGACTGGCCACAGTAGAGAAGCCATGCTGTCACACAGCTTTTATCTGGCTCTTTTCTGACAAACCAACAAAAGGTGGGGTGTAAATGACCTGAAAGGGCCTGATTAGAACTATTGATTTTTCGTACAGAATTTTCAGCCCGATCTCAAACTCATTTGTCACAGAATAATTGGTTATAATGAACGGCACAAGTCAATCTCTCTGACCTTGAACTCATGTACTCTCCTCAGAATCAAAATGCTGGCAATTGCAGTGAAATATTAATGGTATATGAGGAAGAATACCCTTAATATGCCAATCCCAAACTATTCTGCAAGTCTATCAAAAAAAATTTTTTGAAAAAGTCCAGTAACTTTCATAAAAAGTACTCAGTGAGGAAAGTTTAAGTTAAGCAATTCACTAAAAATTGTAATTTTCTTCAAAAAATTTCAGATATCCTCATTCACAGAGCTTTTACAAAAGAACGTAATAGAATTTAATCTATCTAGAATTCAGCTATTAACAAACAAACCTCAAGAATCAGGAATTGACACCCCAGCACAGCTGCAGAGTCACTGGCACCACCCGAGCCCATGCGCCTGACCCATAGGCACAGACGCAGGGCTGCACCAGGGCTTCAGCCACTTTAAAGCAACTGTGACCAACATGGTTATTCAATTTCAAAGTCTAGGGTGAATCTGAAGGTAGATGAGGGCTAACACGGGTAGGCGTAGAGAGCAAGAAGGGCCACCAAGGTGAAGACAGAAAAAGTAAGACATGGGTCACAGCCGCCTGCGCATCCAGCGAGGGGCAGATGTCTGGGGGACAGTAAAAGAGTTAGAGGATCCACTGCTTCAAACTCAAGAATAATTTATATTCCTAGGATTTTCCCCCCAACAGTCAAGAAGGAGTCAAAATATGTTCAAGAATATAGAAAGAAAGGAATACTTCTTAACAGATTTGTCCTTCATTATATCATAATCAATTGGGTGAGTGCAAGAAACCACATTTACCTAAGCAGAACAAATAGAAGACTTTTTAGAAAGTAAGAATATTTTACTTCTGGTCCTATTTTATTTAAAGCAAATAAACTAGGGCATCCGACTCGAACATCAAGGCCACACCTGCACATGCATCTCACACGCAGCGCACCCCTCCGGCTCTACAGACAGCTTCTTCAGGGGCCTGCTTCAGTCCAACTGCTCTGAAATCGACAGCCAGATGTGGCTAGTGGTAGGCCTGCCAATAAGGTCCCTTTTCTCATTTTATTTAGTCAGTTATTACAAAAGTAAAGTGTATATGATTTAATTTTTCTGAACCAAAATCAGTTTACATATATGAGTTAGAAGCTGGCTATATAAAAGCGGGATAAAATTTTTAGCAAAGCTTTCTTACAAACTACCCCAATCCAGTTTGTAAATGTACTTTTTTTAATATGTGGATTTTAAAACCAAAAAAGTCAATCTTCTAGTAAGATCTTATAAAAATGTTAACTCAATATCTTGGCTTTCTGTTTACATCTCCAAATCTGGTTAACATTACATTACAACTGCCTATAATGATTTATTAAAAAATCGGATCCCCCCCCCAAATTTAACTGATTAAAAGATGAAACCATTGTTAACTGTTTTCTATGTAATTAAGAAAACATGACTTGCCCATACTCAAACAACTGTCATTATTCTTTCATTATATTAGGTTAATACATGATACTAATTCACTACATTCTATGTGAATTTTTAAAATATTAGTATAACTTCCACAAACTGATCTTTTACCACTTCTCAGGCACATAGACCCAACAGATAGGGGAATTGAGTAAGGCGAGTGAGAAGTGAAGTTGCTGGGGATCACACTGTCAGCCCTGAGGGGTCATGACAAGGTCATCTTTCTAACCTATGCTGCACTTAAGACTCCTACACTTTGTTAGAACCTGTTTTACAGGGATTTGCCAACTTTTCTATCTGCATTTCAAGGGAACAGCATGGAACTGACGCTTAATGGCACAGAGCAGAAGACAAGCACAGTCACTTCTTTTACAGGAAACCTATGGCTTCAAGGGGCTTGTCCCAGCCATAGACGTCACTTACACTTAACACAAGCTAATGAAAAAGTTCACGACTGATACTGCACTGATACTGAGTCTCCCCTAAGCAAAGAAAAACCAAGTGGCCAAACCCAAATGAAGGTGCAAAGTTCTCAACTGGAAACCATGCAAAGTACTGACTCACTTTTATTGTTTATTCTTACAACATTTACACCTATTAAAAACCAGCAACAATATTATAAAATTCAAAACAGAACAAACCCTCTCCAAATCTTATTCAAAGGCCAAAAGTAATAAAAGTGGTCCTATCTTCTAGCAGTTCACAGTGCAACCCGAGAAAAAGCCACAGAAACACTTAACAGAGCATCAGGAGTGAACCAACTACCACCCACAAGCCAAATCTAGCCCCAAATTTTATTTTATCACAAGTTTTACTGGAGCACAGCCAAACCCACCGGTGCAAGAACTGTCCATAACAGCTTTTGTGCTGAAACAGCAGAGTTGAGTAATTACAAGTGACAGCCGGGACTGTAAAGCCTAAAATACTTGCCGACCGGGACCGGGACCTGTACAGAGTTTGCTGTACCCCAGTACACACAGACTCCAGAGCACACGACTGTAACCGCACAATACACAAACACAACCTATGACCGTGAACCAGTGGCAGTGAAAGCGTGTCTCCTGTAACATAGCTGCTGGGTGAAAAGGACCCAGGTGAAAAAAGTGGGAAGATTTTGTGAATAACTCACTGAATGAGAGTGAACTAAGAGATGTAAGTTGATTATAAGGCTTCTTATTTGAGACCAAATATTATTTTTTGATTAAAAAAAGTCCCACCTCTGGTTCTGACTTGGCTGCTTCTTCAGGCTGAATCACAGGGCTAACTGGCTTGACTTTCACTTCAGCCTTGCCCTGCAAGTGCCTGGACCCCACCCCAGGCCTGGCGGGTGGGGACGTGCTGCTCATCATGGGTTTTACTTGAGCCGCAGGTGTGGAGGAGCAACGACTGTTACTCATGTCCATGACATGTGACGGCGCTATTGGCAATTCACGCAGATTACTGTTTCTTGGAGCAGCTGGCTGCATCTGCTGCATTGGCCGTTTGGTGACACTCTGAGAGGCTGTGCTCTATCACAAGAAGAAAAATTCTAATCAGAACTGGGAACTTGGGAGAAGGAACATAAAAAGATATGTATTAGATAAAAATACAAAATATTTATTCTAATTAGAAAGTGACTTCTCTTTTTTGGTGGAAGAGACTTTTCCCATTGGTAAACACCCTGTTTCATGCATAAATGTTTCCTGCTCTGTGTAATAGCACACCCTACTATTAAGGACTGGGGCTGGTCAAGATAGGTTCCTCTTCATGGGAATTACAGAAGGTGGCTGCAGTTGGTGCCTTAGTAGAGGGACTGGCATTTTAAGCAGAATTGATATGGCTAACAAAGACTCATCTACACAAGGAGTCAGCAGGATTAATGGCACCACCACTTTTACTGGGCCCCCTAAATTTTAATGTGGAACAAGTAAAAGAATCAAGCATTGTGTCAGTGTCCCAAGAAAAACTACTCCCTGGGAAGAGAAAGTTGCCAGGAAGTTTTATCTGAGAGAACATTCTTAAATCACATTCACCCTCAGGATTTTTACAGATTCAAATACTTAGCGGAGCTCACAGATGCGTGAGACAGCGGGGGTAGGAGGTGGGGAGAGGACTGAGACCTCTCGGTGTTCAAGGGAACAAGGCAGTGGATGAAGTCTGCCACTGCTGTAACAAAATGAAACCTGGGTTACAATGACCCTTTTCCCAAATCTAGAAATCCTTCCTTGTTTCTTGTATCATTTTAGTGTCAGTGCTACTTTAAGAAAGCAAGAGGTAGGTATGAGAAAAATTGCTAAGTGACATGCTTCAAGCTCAAGGTCAAAAGGGACAGTATTGAAAGGAAAACTCAACTATCTCAACATTATAACCTAGAACTCTAACCATTAGCGTCTTTCTAGAGCTAGTTATTTAATGAAGGATAAGGCAGTAACAATGATTGTCTTTTACTTTTAAAGCAATACACTTTTCCCAGTTTGATAAATGACAAGCCACACATGTGCTGATGGTACTGATGAGCATAACCTCACAAATATTAAATGAACAATTAATCTCCCACAATTAAATATAAGCTCCACAAAAGCAGGAACCCTGTCTCTTTAGTTCAGTGCTGTTTCCAGGTACTAGCATAGGGTCCAGCAACAGAGGATATTCAGTAAGTTCCTCCTGCACTCATTTACATAATTACTCAGAGTCCAAGAAGGTACATATAATCTGAGCATCAAAAATGAAGCCAGTGGCTAAAATAGAATGACTACCATCCTAAAGTATTTTCTAAAATCATGTGTCTATTAATTATCACATCTATCACTATAATATCTAGATATACAAAAGTAAAATGCTGAAGTAATACTAAGTCTTTCAGGTACAAAAGGGCTATTATTAATTTCCGTTGTCAAAAAGATCAATTTACTAAGCAGTTTTTAAGCATGCATTCACTTCAGAAAAATGTACATTTCATTAATTAAATCAGCATTGGAAACTATTCCGACCCACAGGTTCTGCCGTAAGCTCTATGACTTAAAGGGCATCCCTTGAGCAGCTGGCTAGCGGGACACTCACATGCCTGAGCCCCTGGCGCTGGGGGCACTGCATCCGACTGCTGTTAGGCTGGGGCTGGGCCGTCTGCATGTGAGGCCTGAACGGGGGCTGGGACATGGGCATCAGCGGCGGCGGGGGCACCGACAGGTGGTGGTGGTGCTGGTGCTGGTGTGGCGGCGGCGGCTGCGGCGGCGGCTGGTGCTGTGGTGGCGGCTGCAACGGGGGCTGATGCGGCGGCGGCGGCGGCGGCTGTGGCGGGGGCTGTGGCTGGTGTGGAGGTGGCAGGGGCGGGTGCAGGGGACCCTTCCACAGAAAGAAAGAAGCCACAGGTCGTGAATGCCTATGTGTGGTACATTCCAATCCAGCCATTGCCTTACAAACCCCAACACCAGAAAGGAACATGGAGGTGGTACTAAAATTTCACTTTAGATTTGTTGATTAAGGGAATATTATCTTAAATGCACTAAGAAGTCAAAAGCTACTCTTTGACATTTTATATTTGCCCTAAGTCCTATTAATCCTGAAATTCCAGAAATCTGTCCTAAGGAAATAACTAAGGGTGCAAATCAAACAACCTCAAGAAGGCTGCCTGCCCCGCTGTTTGTAATGCCCAAGTACTGAAACCAAAAACGTGCAGGAAAGTGACAGCCATAAATGTAAGCTTGTACAGCACTTTTAAAGGATGGAGTGAAAAATAATCCACTGATGTGAGAAGATCATTAAACTACGTGCACTGGGAAAAAGGCATGGGTGCTGAGGGTGCGCACACTGAGCAAGACTGGAAACCACACAACCAAATGTGAGTGGGGACCGTTTCCACACCATCGGATTGTTTCCCCTTGAAATACTTATCTATACCTGACAATTTCTGCAAATGGAAGATGTACTAAATGTATTTTTCGACCATAAAGAAAAATGAAAAAACATTTATCTTATTTTAACATCCAAAATAATCATTTTCTTCTACTTTAGATACGTAGTGTTTCTAAATAGCTGATTCAAGCATACCATCATTACATATTTTAACAGTATGGAAGTATGTAAATTATAAAAATTTTAGAATTGAAGCTAAAAATACAGGAAGAAACATACTGGGTGAGAAAGTTATCACAGATACTCAAGGCCGCCCATGATGCACAACCCATCAGCAGAGGGCGCTCAAGTCTCTCGAATGAGGGAGCAGCAACACTTCCTCCCTCTGGGCAAGGAATCCTTGCACCATGTCGGCAGGAACATAACTGGACAAAGAACTTGATTTCCACTGGTAAACCTTTTAAGAATCTTGCAATGGTGTGTAAAGGTTTTATCAAAACACGTCCCAATTGTATTGAAAGCATAACTTAAAAAAAAAATCTTACTACTGAACTTTTCATTTCCCCAAAAATGACAGTAACTTTTCCCATTTCTCCTATGACTAAGGAGATACACCATAGTCAAGACAGTTGTCTATAATAAACAACACACTTAAATCTTTTAAGTATCTCCACATTTTAGGAGGCTTGCAAAAATTGGGAAAGAAACTTCATTTTATGAAACATACAGTCCCAAAGATGCAAGTGCAACCACCATCTGCCCAGCTGGCTGGGACACATACCTGCAGGCTGGGCTGCGCGTGCGTGGGCAGGAATGGCTGTCCCGGGCCAGGCAGAAAGGGCTGACGGGGAGGAATGAAAGGCCGCGTGGCTGCTGAGCCTGGCTGGCTGAAGTGAAGGATCCCCACTGGGCCCGGCGGCTGGAGGGCTGGCCGTACAGGCCTCTCTCTCGGGAACACCGGCTGCTGTCCTTGCTGACTGAACGCTGGTCCGGGCTGAGAGAACGGTAAAGGGCTGGGAGCAGGCACGGGGTGACTACTGCTAAGAAGCGTAGGGGGAGGCGGCGGTGGAGGGGGGCTTCGTTGTTCCAAAAAGAGGTGACTCGGGAACCTTGCTTCACCTGAAACTGAACAGCAATGCAACATTACACTGGTCCCGCAGAACCCACCCCGCACAGAGGAGCTCTATGCACAGCCTTACTACACGCGAAAATTAAGTGGTGGCAGGGCTGTGAATGTTGGAAAGGAAGGCTAGTCTGCCTATTTCTAGATCACTTCTTTAGTCATCTGCTATAGATGATTCCCTCCTCTGTCGTGAGCTATTCGCATTTCAGATACCAATCATGTCCGATTTTGTCACTTGAAATGACAAGCTACAGTGCCGTGGCACAAAACTCCGACACGTAACCAAATCTCCTACTGAATTCAGTTCAACACGTAAGTGGGCACGTCAGCCCATGGGACACTGTCCTGTTACTCTGCACTATCCCTTACCTCCCAAGAAGAAAGGGTCTCGCTCCTGGGGCGGGGGCGGGGCCCTCCACTGGTCCTGAAGAGGAAGTCGCGGGGGCTGGCTGAAGCTGCTGGGGACAGGCCCAGGCGCGTGCTGCGGGAACTCTGGGGGGCCCTAGGGAGCAGCAGGAAAACAGCCTGTGATTCTCAGAAATGCAAACACACGGGGCCAAGTTCTCTGGAAGCGGCCAAGTGACTGATCTGCAGCCCCCACGCCCAGAGATACAACTACATGTTACAAGACCTTCTGCCATTATGGAAAAGTCTGATACAAAGGCAGCATCCTCCATGTTACCTCCATGGTTTACTATTACTAGAGCACCACAGAAATTATTTACGCTTACTGATGTCCATGCAGTTACTGACCTTGACCATTAGTCAGAAAGACCACATGTCTACTTTCTGTGTTCCTGATACTTCTCTTCTCAAACATGCTATTATTTGCTACCTTTTAAACATAACCTTAAGCTACCACTTTGAAGCTGCTTTATTTCAAAAAAAGAAACTACCTGTGTACCACAACAAAAAGGAAAAGGAAAAGATGAAATGTTTAAGAAACCACATTATACCAAAGAAGTATGACACAGATTTCATCAGATAAAACATCTGGAACCCTAAGGGCTAGTGTTGTTCAGTGACTTCACGTTTACAGCGGAACTTTGTACACAGGCAAACTAAAATCACTGTTTTTCAGTAGGCCTTTCAAGTACTCATGGAGATTTTTTTAAAACGCTCTATTTATTTAAGCCTTACACTTTTTGTGAGGCATTTAAAGAAAGACTGTTGGCTGTATGACATTAGAGAGATTATGTTTAAACACAACTATTACATCTTTATAAAAACACAGGTTATTAGACACGTACTGAAATGTGGAACAGAAAGTCCCAAGGCTAAATTCCTATAGTTTTTATCTATTACTTTAGGTGAAACCAGGGAAATTCTCGCTTTCCCCAGTTTTTGACATCAGGGAATGCCACTTCTCACTCTTGAGAAAGGCATCAATTAAGATACAACCAAAGCACCTGTAACTGAGAGATAAGCTCTGTGAGATTACATACTACATATATTCATACTGACGGAGTATGAATTTAGAAATTTTTTATTTCTAATAAATGTATACCTTTTATCATAATGAGACTTCAATACTAGGATGTGTTGATATGGATATTCTTCATTATTTAATATTTTTACTGTGATGATAAGCTAGGAAACATATTTCTAATAGCATAGGCTGCGATACATTGTTACTCATTAAATCTGCAGGACTTTCAATAGTCTTGCCTATTTTCTTCCAATGCTACATTTCCTCCTGTTTTAAAAACATTCTCTTTTTGTTTGAAGTCAATGAAATATGTGGTGTATATCTGCATGTATATTTCAACAGGTAATGTAAATAGAACATTAATGAAGTATTTATTGATAAAATGTACCATTAGTATTCTGTCTTTAGTTTTATATATATCAACTTTTTTCTCACATATACAAACATTTCAAAAGATGCTTTAAAATCATCTTAAAAACTGTCTGGATGATAATAAATTAGCAAATCAAGGTCCTGTCATTAATTGAAAAAAAATTTTTAAACCATTTTTCTTGCACCAGCCCAGAAAATAAAAAAGAAATTGCTTGCCCCCTGGTTTGCCCAAGGTTTGACTGGGCACATGGCCACATCTATGCAATTTGACTATACAAATTACCAAATGCTCACCCCAAGTAAAACCCATTTGCAATTAAGCAGCTTGTTTCCTTAAGCTCATATATTTGACTAATACTCTTTCTTGTGAGGGGAGGGGGGGGAAAGAGGAGGGGAAAGGGGAGAGGAGGGGAGGAGAGGGGAGGGGGAGGAGGTGAAGGAAGAGGAGGGGAGGGGGAGGGGAGGGGGAAAGGTGGACACCTGGAGTTTCAAACAGAAATACAGAAAAAATAAGATTCATTAAAGTAACTTACACTGAGTAATACAAATCCCACAGATCAAAACTACGTTCTGAGACACGGAGAAGGGACACCACCACAGCCTAAAACAAGCTGAAGACATCACTGAAATTTAAAATTTTCCAAAAATGAAATATATATGTATTTTTCATGAGGTTTCAGCTTACAAACAGTAAAACATTAACACCTACCTGAAGACAAAAAACCATTTTCAACATTAGAAGTGTGGAAACACACAGCAGCCATCTTCAAATACCCGAGCTGTGGTCATCTGGAAGGTATGTGCTGGTCTACACCAGGTCACGACAGGACTGTCTGGTCCGGCACTGGTGGGGTGATCCCAGAACAGCACGGCACCCTGAGCACACCAGAAGCGCTCTCTGGGGCATGAGCCGCCCCGCAGCAGGAGGCCTGCCGCCAATCGGGATGGTCTAGGGGAACTGGCCTGGAGGGCCCACAGGGTCCACGTCAACCCGAGAACACCGGGTCTGTCATGTTCTCTGAATCATGCAGCAAGTTGAAAAACCAAGTTGAGAACCTGGGCTAGGCTGAAACAACCAACGAGGGAATCTGAAAGTCTGTCTGCTGTGCTGGCATTGCGATGGACCAGGGGATTAAGTGGAATGGCCTGGCAAAATGCTGGCTCTGGGACTTGGGGGCGCTCCCTTAGTGGGTTACTTGGGTCCAGTGACAGTATTCTCATTTTCCTGCTTCAGCAGCTGGTCTTACAGCCCAGGCGAAGCCAGGTCAGAAGACAGGAGACCCAAGACAGAGCCCAGGCCAGAGTCTGGTCAGGCCCATTCTGACCAAGGGTCAGGTCTGGTCACTGGCAACAGGAGTGGGAGGTAATTCTCTCTCCTAACCCAGGATTCACAGCCCAGGGGTGTGAGCCCCCATGGCCAACACACTGCCCCCCATCCAGCGGTAATAACTATAGCCATCTGCACAGATGAAGCCACTGTGAGCCAGTCAAGCAGCAGTGCTGTGTGCAAGTACCCATTCCAGAGCAGGGACCGACGGGCACCGGGGCTGGACCCACTAGCTCCTGGGCAAGACAACAGCGGCTTTCGCCACGGCCGCTCACCTCCTGGGTGGCAGGCCCCACATGGAGCCCTTCGCTGCTGGAACTCATGAACGCCAGCAGTGACACTGGGGCTGTGGTCTCCCATTTCACAGCCAAGGAAATCTAAACTTAGTCATTAAATAATTTGCCCAAGGTGATACTATTGTTTTCTTTTTAATAAGCTTTTAATACTCACAGAAAACAACTAAAAGCTCCCACAGGGTTTGTTTTAGTAATGGTATGATGAAAATGAGGCAGGGAAAGTTCCAAACCCATATGGTAAAAATCCTATCAAAATTACTGAATTTGGGGATTTAAGAAGCATATTTTTTCTTGACTTAGGTATGAAAATGACAGTCTACAGTCAACCCAGAATTGTGGACTCTGGAAACCATCACATTACATACAAATCCACCCACCACTGATGTCTTTGGAAAATGTTCACTCTGTCCTTCTACTTTAGCCAAAATACGCAGTCTCTACAGAAAAAGGCTTCTCTTCTAAGCCCTCAGTACAGCCCTCCCGCCCTGACTCTGCAGTCTCGCTGGTGGCCTGTCTGGCTGCCTCGCCGTTTCAGGAGACCCTCTCTCACACAGGCCACACCAACAGAGCCAAGCAGCCTGCTGCTCCCATTTCCCAGCTCAACAGGAGTCACTGCACATGTGTCTCCCCTTCCCTGGCCACCAGTGTCCCTGTCTAGTTTCCACCCACTCCCGCTCCGTGCTTCTGCTGCGTGGCACTCTGCGCAGCTTCCAGTCCCTTGGCCCTGCGGTCCCACTCTCTGGAGCCCTCCCAGCAGGTAGATGCTTGTCCCCCAGATCGATAGGGATTCCCCGTCCCCTCTCCTGACAGCATATTCTGCCCCCTTTCCATGTGTTCTCTGCTTTCACTCACCTCCATCTACAGAGAATTTTCTAGCATGAATAATGTGCTTGCTGCTAATTCTTAGCAGCAGTCTATTTGTTTTTAAAAAAGATCTCATTTTATCACTGTATTCGGTCAGATTTTTCATTAAAGGACCAATATACTGAATCCTAACAGAGGTGGAAAGTCTTATGCTACTGATTTGCTGACAAGCTTTCAACCTGAACTACAGCCAGCATGCTTTAGAGCTCCCAATTTATTAGCTGTTTCAGTCACCACCGTGTAAAGAGTTGACAAAGCAGCAGACACAGGGAGACAGAATCAGAAAGGACCAGAAGAGTGACACATGCTTTCTGTGAGTCCTGTGGGGCTACTGCACCTAAGTCCTGTGCTCTATTAGCAGCCAGAGCGCAGCGGCATTCGTCCTGGGAGCTCCAGCCCCAACAAAGGGCAAAGCCCAGCCTGGCTGTGTTGCTGAGAGCCACAGAATCCACCCACAAGCAGCACAGCCCTGCTCTCTCCTGCCTGCTAGGCTCCAGTGGGCATGGCTTCAGCACACACAGTTTGCAGCACCTGAAGACAGCGGAGCTCAGTCCCAGATCTGCCAAGAATCACAACAGAATTATACTGTGGCTGGGGTTCCTTCCTCAGCTTCATGGAAGCCAGGGGCTGGCAGGTTCTCTAAACTTTCCTTCCTTATTTTGCTTACAGCTACAAGAAGCTGAAAGAGGTTCCTGACTTTTCTGTCTTGGCTAATAAACATGGCCTTCCTCACGTTTTAACATGCACTGATACTTACTGCAGCCTTTCCTACTGGCTTGGATCATGCTGCACTTACAGACAACTGACAGATAATCAGGTTCTTATAGAATTTGCCATCAATGATGAATCCGATGACTGTGTGTCAGTGTCCCAGGTCCCACCTGCTGGTGAAGTGCCCAGCAGGCCTCGTCATGTCTCTGCTGCCACAGGGCTCTTCATAACTTCCTTCCTCCCTCCCTCCATGAGGGAGTTATTCTGAGTCCTCCAAAAGACAGTGTGCTTCCTCATTAAAGATAAGGACAACAGCGGGGGAAAGCACCCCACCTCCCCCTCTGGGGTCAGAAGATGATCTGCTAGGTCGTAGTGCTCATTTTGCCACGGGTTGACATCAGGAAAGGATTCTCTCCTTAACCCGCTTCACCTTTTTCTAAAACGAAGTAGTTACTGAATTATGAGAATGAGCTCAGAGAGCCCGATGTGGTTAGTTTTCAATA